CCCCAAAACCCCAAAACCCCAAAACCCCAAAACCCCAAAACCCCGCAGTTTTAAATAAAATTTCTGACTGATTTATGACTATCTTTTTATATTCGGTAAATATAAATTTAAAATATGAATTACAATAACAGTTAACCATCAGGCGACCAGTCTTAATATGTGTAGAATAATATGCAGAATCCATTTAAAACAAAGTATTTAGAAACTTTAACATTTCTTAGGAGTGGTCAAGTATTCAGCATGGATAACAATTCAAAAATATTCAATTACTCGAATAACTTCTTGACTGTTACCTCAAAGTGCGATTACAATCACCATAATAACTTATTCAAAACTCCACCAAGCTCTTCTAAAAATAGAGACAGAAGGATATCTCAGCTAGAGGAATCTCCAATCGTGGAATCAATAAGTTCAAACAATGATTCTCAAAGTTTGGAAGTTATTAGAGAAGAACCAGAAGGATCTTGCTTTAAATTTACAAAGTCGAAAGCCAGAGAATGCACTCCTCTGCTATCTCCACCTGATCATCTCCAATCAACTTAAAAAAAGAACAACTATATTACCTTTGGAGGATGCACTCCTCACTTCAATAAACAAGCATAGACTAATAATCACGGCTTTTAGATTGAAAACTCGAAAGCAGTGACAATAGATGGAAACTCTTATATTGAAATGGGAAATAATTAAAAAGAATACAAAGATGAGAGCAGAAGATAGCTATTTACAAATGACTTGAATGATGGCGATGATGATATCATAGAAGAGGACTAAGAATCTTAATTGAAAATTAGCTCGTTTATAGATGGTATATTAGACGGAGAGAACGAGGATTAATCAGAATTTTGTTAGTAAATGCAATCATCAGAAGAATTCAATTTCATTGTAAGAAATCTCCAAATACAAGCATCTCATGAAATAATGAGATAGTTTGAAGAATTCTATAATTAGAGATAAGAACAAATCTTATAACTCTTCGATGATTAAGCAACCTTTGAATTCATGAATATTTAACAAAGTCTGCAGACTTAAGAAGCCCTATCAGTTATGGATGCTGAAGTTTTAGCTATCAAGCTAGATTATTAAACCTTGTCTATCGACTAAAATGATGAGGCTGGGTTCAAGTTATTCTACATCACTTTCGAAGGAAATTTGTAAATGAAGAATGAGCAAGTTGAAAAAAGGTTTAAGACATCATTCATGGTTGAGGGTCATATCAATTACAGGCAAAGAATGTAGCAATTACAAGTTCAAGATACAATGGTAAAAGTAAAAGCTACAAAAATGAACGTTTTTTGAAAGAATAGCAATTTTTCCTCATCAATTACTGAGATAACTTGCTCTAATCATCTGATATTTATTTTAATTAATCAGCAAATTTTAACTACCCTAGACTGAGTTTAGGGGTTTTGGGGTTTTGGGGTTTTGGGG